ATGGAGCGCTCGAGACGCAGGGCTGGCGGGGCCGACGAGGATCTAGCCGACGAGGCAAAGCGCCCGGACGAGAAGGACCAGGTGATGAAGGGTGCGAGCTTCCGACGGCTGAACCGGGCTGTGGCCGGTCTGATCGAAAGTTTCAGCATGGTCAACTTTTTGAAGCTAGATGTGACCAATGAGGACAGCGTCGGGGCCATTTTGAGCTACATCGATGACTGTATACAGTTTCACGAGGCTCAGGAGCCTAAAGACCCCAACGACGAGGAGTTTGAGGATCATGATGACGAAGCTGAAGAGTAGAGCTGAGCCATCTAGGTCATTTTGTCTTGGTTTCTTGGGTCGAGGCTATATTTACAATGGTAGTGCAAAGCGACGGCGTTAGGGATTACATTATATTCGGACTTATAAAAAATCAAGATCCAGTCATATTTGAACACGGACATCCACCTTTTTGCAAATTACACAGTTCAAACCACAAACAATGCTGACAACCGTCAAGGCTCTCTTGTAACCCAGTAACATTAAACATCCAACGTTGTAACAATACCGGAAGTAGCGTCGTAATAGGTAGAAGTAGACATCGGAAGAAGGACGAAAAAGAGGAGACCAAGGACCAGCCAAACGCACCCTCGACAACCTTGTCGTTTGTTTTGGCCAGACCAGACGCCCCGCGCGCGCTCCGAAACAAAAAAAAAATCCCAACCCGCCCGACTCCCTATACCCTTTCACCGCCCTTCAAGTTCCCCTGCTCTCCCCCCTTGTTCTTCGTCACCGCTGGGCGGCTCTGCTCGCGGACCCAGCCCGCTGCTGGCTCTCGTACTGCCGGTACTCCTCCAGCCAGATGTCCTTGACCGCCGCGCCGAACCCCATCACTTTGCTGATCACCACCACGACGTCCCTGACCGTCTGCTCCGGCCCGCGGGACCACATGAAGGCGACGAGCGCGGCGACGACCCCCCAGAGCGCCAGGCGCGCCATCACCCGCGTCCACCACATCATCAGCCTGTGCACCCAGCTCATGACGACGAAGACGGCCGTCGCCACGGCCACGGCCACCACGAGCCCCGTGTACCCCTGGTTGTCGGCCACGAGCTCGAGCAGCCTCTCGACCAGCGGCTCGACGTGGGGGTAGACGGCGTCGTACGCGCTCTGCGCGTGCGTGAGGGCGTACTGCTTGTAGGTCTGGAAGGGCGACTGCGGGTGCAGGAGGTAGGTCTCGATCTGGTCCATGATCTCGGACGGGAGGACCATGCCCAGGAGGTGTGTGGCCATGGAGGTGTTGGACATTGTTGTGTGTGTGTTGCCGGGTCTGAGAGTAGGTAGGGTCCGGCTTGAGGGAAGATAGTTGAGATGATGGATTTTCCGTCGGAAGGGAGAGGAAGGATGAGATGTGTGATGTGGCCACAAGCAGTCCTGCCGGCGCGTGCGCGTTTGGCTGTAGAAATATGCTACGTCGAGAGTTGCAGCGCACGGGAAAGCGCAAACTGCTCTTTGTGGATGGACCACAATGCGACCCTGTAACCAGACACGCCTGTCGGGCTCCAGCGAAGATAGGGGACCTGGCAGGCCTAAAAGCGGTGTTGTAAAGTGGGCCTCGAGTCTGTGTTTTGTTGTTGTTTCAAGGGTCCTCCCGAGGCTCGACGCTATTATTATACTACCATCTCAACCTTAGGTAATTAATCTATAACATAGACTTTGTAAATAGGTTTGTGAAGGGTGGTAGTAAGATATATCGAGGTGATTCATTGACAGAAGTATCGTGCCCGTATTTCTATTTATATACACACCCAAAGTATATATGCCTGCTAAACATAATCTCGAAAAATGTAAACCTCATAAGCTGCTCCCAAGTCAACCCTCTAGAAAACCAAGGAAGCCCATCCCAAAGACAAGCAGCGGTTAGTACGTGAACAACCTAACCGAAACTGACAGTATATATAGGAGAAGGAAAAAGAAATCCGCAAACAAACAATGCTCATCGAGAGTATTCTCAAGGGTATCGATATCAGACAAAAGAAAGATCATATAAGATTATGCAGCTTTTGTCGTTGTCAAAGAGCCAAAAAAGAGGACATGGCGCATTACCGTAGACACAACCCAGAAATAAACGATGGGAAATCACCTTTCCCGTCAGACCTGACTCCGGCAATATTAAACTCCTCGTAAGTTGGAAAAAAAGTTCAGTAACCATTTCCCCCGCCTCCCATTCTATTCGTTCCAATTATGGCAGTTCCTCGAGTCCCTCCAGAATCCGGCGGGCCGCATCGATTTTCCGCCTATACATGCGTGCTTCTGCTCCAGCCCGTGAGCTCTCCCCCAAGGCCAAGACACACTTGCCAAGACTGGCCACCAGCCTCTCGACAGCGATCTGGTCCTCCTTGGCCAGACTCTGCAGCTGTGCTGTCGAGTTCTGGCCTTTTGCGTTGTCTCCATCACGAATACCTGTGGTCTCGCTCTTGAGAGACTCAGAAGCCTGCACCAGTGCAGGATCAGGGGATCCGCCAGGTGTCAAAACACCACCGTTCAATTTCGCTCTGCCTACCAGAGGAAAGCTGCGGCTCGTCCCTATCGAATCAAAGGATGATGTTGAAGGCCGGTGCATCCTCTGCGTGGCGGAACTAGCAGGTCGGTAAACCGCCGGGTTCTGACGGTGCCGATTCGATTGTCGTGATGACTGCCGAGATGATTGGCGGGATGATTGACGGGATGACTGACGGGATGTGTGATTGTCGCGTTTGGTGACCCCTTCGTGGGCCAAGTAGAATTCATCTTCATCGGCGCTCTGGAACGCCGAACTTCGGCTTGCCCTGCCTTCTGTGGCTGTAGCAAAGGTATCCACGGACGAAATCGTTTCTAGGCTAAGCCTTCTCCTCCTGGACGCTGCGGAGATAACTGGGCCTCGGGTGGTTTCGACTGAACTATCGGAGTAGTCACTCTCATCGGAAGCTACATCGCCTTCAGCCCGCCGACTGATACTTCCCAATGCAGAGTGCAGGAAGAAGTGCTCGTAGTCAAAGGCATCTTCTCTATCCTCGTGTGAGAGCTGAACCTGGGGAGCGTCTTCATACAAAGAGTCGCCACTCTCGCTTGTCCAGTCGGAATGATCAGTCTGGCTCTCCGTCTCATGAGCGTCACTAAAAGCCGCAGCCAGCTTGATTGAGCCACTGTCCTCTCCATTGATATCATCCCCATTCTCTGTTCGCACATCATCAACGTCTTCACTTCTGACAATGGCTTGATCCTTCTGCCCAACATATTGCGTTGGGGTCGTTGCATCAGGTGAAGGCTCACGATACTGTTGTGTAGGCGTCTCGTTGCCCTGCCTACTCGCGGCAGTCGCAATTGTTGGCTTGTCCAGACCAGCTGGGGCTTGCTCTTTTTCTAACATGTGTTCCTGAGGCTGTGGAGTCTCAGCACCATCGCCATCGTTGATCCAAGACGCCCGGGGAGTGGCCTCTCCTGAACGAAGAGCGCGAATCTCACGAGGCTCCATCAAGCCATGATCCCATCGCGCATGCGTGAAGGGGCTGGGGGTTCGTAAGCTCTGTAAGCTTCGCCTCTTCAGGCTATCCACCCTCGCCTGCTCCCTCAAGCTTGAAATCTTTCCCTTCAAGTCCGCCATCTGGTCGTGCAGATCGCGCATCTGTAAGGCCGAGGCAGAGCGATTCAGCGATTTCTCAGAATAGGTGCTCAAGGCAGGGCTCAAATACCCCGAGCCTCGAGCCTCGTTTATTGCGGGGTCGGTTTCCGAAATGTCATCAAGAATATCTTCGCCTTCACTCAAAATCTCCAGTGATGTATCCAGAGGATGGTGGGATATTGTCGGCGTTGCCCCATCTGATTGGGGGGTCGTTTCGTTTCGTTTCGAGGGATTCGTGGGGTCGCGATATCCACCTGAAGAGCCGAGCGCACTCGCCGCTCTACGGGGGAAGGGCGAGGGCTTGGTGAGATCGCGTGTTCCATCTTCACTTCTTATCCTTGAGTGGTGAGGAGCGTTGGGAGCCGGCTGATCTTTCCTGAATGAGACCGGTCGTCCAATCGTTGGTGAGGGCGTCGATTCGATGTCTGAAGCTGGAGAATAGGCGAGGGAGGTCCTGGCTCTAGTCAAGTTTCCTTCCATTGCCTAAAACCGAATTAGACAACCATATAGGCCAGAGAAGCTGGATGATAGACCCTCCCACTTACCGTCAATCTACGCTTGGCATTGGCTAGGATGCGCTCAGCCCTGTCACTGATATATGCTGTAGAATATTTATCATCAGGGTCACTCGTGATCCTCTGCTCGATTCGGCGACCCTGTGGCGCTGTGCCCTCAACGTAGTATGATGCCATGCTTTCTTCGTCGTCGCCTTGAAAGCTACTGTCGCCCACACTCATTGCATCATCAAACTCCTCAAACGTTTGGTTTCCAGACGGTCCCAGCGTCGTAATCGTGCTGATGGAAGCATTCGAGCCGCGCCTCTCGCGGGCTGCGATTTTTGCCCTCCATTGCTGAGCCTTGGCCGTTAATTCGCCAACCGATCCATATGTCTCGTTCTCATCCATTTGCATCGAATACCGCGAAGATGCCCTTCTTGACCCTACCCCCGCATTACTCTCCGCCTCGGTGACCTCTCCAATGTCTGAGAGCATTGTTCCATTTCCATAGATGATTGGCGTGGATATGGGGATTGCCCGCTGGCCGAAGTTCTGCGGCGGAAGCTGAAAGTCCATGCGAGCCGCATTTGGGTCCTCCCAGATCCTCAGGGAGGACTGCGAGAGTCCCTGAGGCGAGTCGGGCATGTCGTAGTCGGGCAGAATCAGATCCGGGTTGGTTAAGGTTGGTGACCCGGGCTCAGGCCCATGCGATGGGCCGGACGACTGGTGGCGGACGTCCATCTGGCCGTTGGCATAAACTGTGGCGGCCATGGCTTTCGCGACAGCAGTTGTTTCAGGCTTGCCGTGCTGCGTGGGGAACGTTGGGGAAAGCTTGTCCTACCACACGAACGGACGGGTCGATGATATCAACGATTCGTCCCAACGAGCGGGAGGTATCAGTCTTCGGATCGAGAGGCGACGAGAGCCCCCAGTTTGCATGCGCAGGTCAGGGGGGCACGAGGTCAAGCCTACGTCGCTCAGCGACACGTATCATGGGAGGATCCGCCTCGATATCACCGATTCGCCCGATGGTGGAGTTGTTACAGGAATTGACGAGCTGTGCTTTGCAAAGGACGGATGCAGGTTGATGCGGGAGGAGGAGGCGCAAATTGGGCGAGGCGGGAAACGAGCGAGCGAGCGAGCGACAGGTCCTGGCGAAATGTGGTGCCGGCGCAATGCTGGATATCAGGGTCAGGACAGGCTGCTCGTGGTCCGTGGCCAAGGATGCATGTGCATGGACAAAGTCAAAAGAAAGCACGGCCAAACCCACGCAGTGAGGGGAGGGGAGAGGTCGGTGCGAGGCAGGAGTGACTATGATCCCAGACGGGATCTAGAGGAGGCGACGGCCTAAAACTTGAGCCGGCAGTGAAAATCTTCGAGAAGAACTACGACTATTTGCTGCGGCGCCGACAAGCCACACGGGTGTCTAGGCTGATCTTGGGAGCGACAGCGGTGCCTGACTTAACTTACTTGCATGGTCCGTCGACCCGCACCGGATTGACCCAGATGGAGGTGGGTGAAATTGGCTTGGATGCCCTGGCTGGGACACAACGGCGCTCTCTAATAAGGTGTCTGGGTGCAGAGTGCAGAGGACCTGCCCGGCCACGCAGGATTTCAGTTGGGGCCATGCGATCCAATCCTGCTTAAGGTAGGTCTTTAGGAAATTATCTGGGCGACAGGGGCCGACAACGAGGTTCGTCAGGGGTTCGTGCTGTGGCCGGGACGGGTCCAGATGGAAATTGGTGGTGCAGACGGGCAAAGGTTACGTTAGGTTAGGTAAGTGAAGTGCTTTCCTTGGTGGGTTAGGCGAGCGGCATTAGCTGGTCCTTTTGGGTTTGACGGCGGCTCGTATCAAATCCAGATCCAGAGTTCACCTTCGCATTGTGCTACCCTACAAGTCCTGCCATCACCAACACCTCCCTCGACCTGCATCTCCTCGGCGGCTACATCAAAGTGCCTTTCTCACATATGCGGTGTAATGATTCCGTCGGGAGCCCAAAGCGCCTGGTGTCCTTCGGATAGTCCGTCAAGGTAGCATCCCAAGTCAGCTAAACACTGACAGCACGGACGCGATATCACTAAGACCTATCAATCGCCCCCCACATGTTGAGCCGAGCACGTAATTACACTTGATCGTGATTTCTATTGATGCGAGTTTAGATGTAGTCTGCACATCACCAACGAATGTACCCGTCAGGGCCATACAAAAAGCCAAAACCAATATTGTTGAATCGACTTCCTCACCATGACCAAGAATCAAATATGATGCAACCCTCAATACTAGCCAACCACCTGGGCCACATCGCGTCACATCGCGCATGCACACCTTCGCAAGATCCCTGACCGGGACCCTCCAGCTCAATACATTTCTAGAGCCTTGACCGAAGCCAGCCCAAATTCCTCGCTCATTCCGGAGCCAGCAGGCTGGGTGGCATCCTTGGCCATGGAGACCCCGCCAGGCATGAGCAAGAGGCGAGCAAAAAGGGGGAAGACGATAGGTGGTCCATGTACGTACAGGGACCCCCTCGTAGTGCAACTCTCACTGGCCAGCAGTGACATTTTGACGATAGGAGTCTTCTTCTTGCCAACACTTGGGCAATTATGAAGATCCCGGATATTATATTCTCCTGGTCTTAGTCCCCTTGCTTGCAGCCCCTTATTGATACAAGACACATTTCGGATGTTTGTCTATCATGGTGTGTATTTTTAGTAAAAAAGAAAGTTAAGTGACTACCTATTGTTTTTTCTTTTTCGTAAACTCCAAGTCGCGTCCAGTCAAATATCATTTCAATTCGTCGGCTGATATTGCCATTCTATCTTATTCGTTCCTTGCCCAAAACTCATACCTATTTTGTCCCCCTTTTTGAAAACTCAGTTTTTTTGGTCTTTCATTTTCCGAGATGGCCTCCCTATTGGCGTTCCCAATCGTTCCTGACAATATCGAGGTCGACCCCTAAGCCCAAGACACCAGGCAGGGGGCCGCTTCCGGCTCGATTAACCTTCAGCAAAGGCCTCGAGCTTGGCCTGGATCTTGCTGTCTGAGGCATCCTTGGCAGGACGGTTGGCAATCAAACGCTATACAATGGTTTTAGAAATCAGCGGCATCCAGGTTACAAATACCGGGCAACTTACCACAAGATTCCTGAGCAGGATGGCGATGGTGACCTTGCCAACGGAAGGCACGTAGATGGAGGCCTTCTCCTTGACGGCGGGCCCATCGAAGTTCCGGTGCGAGGAGAAGTTGATGCACACAGCGCCCTCTCGGATGAGCTCGGTGGGCACCTTGTACGACTCGACCGGCACACCAGAGATGATGACGTCGCTCAGAGGCAGGACCTGCTCCAGGCCCCAGCCCTCCTTGTCCTCGACCTTGTGACGGGGCTGCTTGATTCCCTGACCTCTGGTGAAGAGCTGAACGCCCGTGACGTCGACTGAGTAGACGGTTGCTCCGTCGTTGGCGAGGAGGGCGGCGAGTGGGCGGCCGTTGACCTCGGAGCGGTTGATGACGGTGATGGTCTTGCCGTAAAGACGGTTTCCAACCGCCAGGATGGGGTTGTAGATCTGAAGATACTCAAGAATCTTGACACAGGCCAAAGGGGTGCATGGCAGGATGGACTTCTTGCGGTTCTCGGGGGGATCCAAGAACCGGATGTTGTGGTACATGTTGTGCAAGTGCTGGAACCGCATGCCCTCGACGTCCTTGCTGAGGCTCACAGTCTCCTGCACATACTTATCGTGGGTGGGGTTCTTGGGGAAGATGGGATAGTAGACGATGATGCCGTCTACGTCCTCTTCCTCGTTTGCCTTCATGATCTCCTCCTCGAGGAGTTCCTTGTCTACATTTCGAAGGTCAAACTTGAAGCCACTGCAGGCAGATGGTGGTAAGTGCGTGCCCTACACGAGAACCAAGAAGAAGTTTTTTGGATGCACTCTGCTCATGCACTCACTTGTCCTCGCATGTCTTCTTGGACCACTCCGCATACTTGACAGCGTGAGGGTCGCCATTGGCCAGGAAGGCAGCGAGCGTGGGCTCCCCGCTGCCGGACTCCTGGATCGTGGCCAGAGTCTCTCTGACCTCTTGCAGAAGGTTCTTGGCGATGGTCTCTGCGGTGATGACCCTGCAGGTCTTGGGAACCTCGGCGGAAGCCATGGCGACGTCTATATAATCCTTGGCCTGCCTAGCGTCAGCGACTCTGCTGAATCACCAAAAGTGCCCGTCTCCAGACCGCGTCTGTCTCGGGAGGCGTCCCGACTCACTCACCTGCAAAGGGACTGATGCTATAGAGAGACCCCACTACCGACGATGCAATTGTAGGGGTGTGGTGAAAGCTACCCGCACCGCGCTTGGAGGGGTCAAATGCTGGACAGAGAATCTAAGCGTCCTGATATATGAATGAGAGAAAAAACAGGCCAAGTCCTGAGCTTCTTCAAGGCGAAAGGGAAAAAACGGGGTGGAGTATGAGTCAAAAATGCATACCTACTCCTCTTTGCGATTATTTTTTTTGCACTTAGGTCATTCCCTGCTTCCAGTATGACCCTCGCTCCGAACTCGTTCTGTTGCCCGTTGTATGGATGGCAAGAAAAAAATTCATTGGATCGATACTACATTCTTGTCCGGTTAAAGTTTAGCCTGCGATAATATAAAGGGACATGGAAATTCAGCGATTGGCTGCCGGTAGTTCGCTGTCAGACACATGTTATTCTAGGTTGCTTAAATTGCCTGCAGTAGCGGCAGTACAGCCACTAACAACTGAAATTACCAATAACCATTCAATTTGAATAATGGAAATCTCGAGAAATTTCGTCCATATAAGTATGTAGATGCTGATGCTGAGCAAAATGTGCAGATGTGGAGCATGTGAATAGCCGCTCGCTAGCTGTTGGCCCACTTTAGATCAGACCAGAAACCATGGCGAGAACTCTAGATAACGGCGCGATCGTTCCTAAAACACAGACAGCGGAGAGTCAAAAGGGAAGTGTAAATCAATTCAAGACATGTTGCCGCTGTGAGACGTCCGCTAAGGGGGAAACGGCCAGCCACAACCCCTTTGGTATGGAAATGCCTTGACCTACCCCAGACTCATCAAGCAAACTATGGCGTTTGCTTCGAACAAGGAGTCTATCCACGGTTGCCCATTTTTCTTGAACTGTGTGATAGTCGAATACCCTTTGTGACAGATGGTACTTCATTCAGTAACTATATTTAATCTCAAGAAACCCTTTGCGGCATCCTATGTTACACGATTCAATTTGACCTGGGCATTCCTGATGTGTACGGGCTGCCAGAGTGACCATATACTACCAGAATCATGTATGTGAAGTTGTGTTAATATATCCTGTATGATAGTTTTTATATGGTTGCGACGAACATGTCTGCACTCTAAACAAATTGGAAAATGAAGTATGGACGTTGGTATCAACTGCTACCGGGAAACCCAGGCCTAGGCTTGTATGGCCGAGTTTGCTATCTACATTACCTACTTCCTGGAAGTCCCTGCCTCCAGGCATATAACTTTTACTTGTAGACTGTCATCGAGCAACGCTTTTGTGGTCTTGAGGGAGGCGCGTATTAGCCGAGCAGACGAAATTGGATCTCAGACCATTAAGCTCATACGCACTCAACTGAGCGACGTTGAACAACCTTGTGCGCTCAAACGTAGTCCTGATTAGGTATTCTTGAGTCTGCCCATGATTTGTATTGCTATATTATTGAGCGCCAATAATAAATATTCAAGAGCCACGATACCGCTAAATATCGGGTTATTTTGCCGCATCAACCTACTTATTGCAGAAAGTGCGCTGCGCATAGCTGCTCTTCAATCTACCTACCTAAAGCAGAGTACTTATCCGAAGTCTGGTATGTTTCAATATGAGAACTATTTACAGCACGAAACGACGATTCCATTGCTTACGATTCGGATTCCAGGTTCTCCCGACTGTTCCAATCGAGTGAATGGAACGATGGATATTACTAAATGATATACCACACCTCGCACCACTTACGCATGAGCGTCTGGTGGAACTTGCAGCAAGTAAGATCCCCCTTTCTGCATGCACACTCCCTGTCATCATGCAGCCATGTCCCGCGTCACAGCAAGCCCTCGAGCAATCAGAAGCAGCGCGGCTTACTGCCGGTCGCTCGTCCCAGGCACCTTTTCGCCCGGCGGGCATGCATTCGCAATCCCAGCCCAAACGCCTGGCATGATCCTTCGCCCATGGCACGGCAATGTGATACAAGCAAGACGCGCGCGCGCGCGCAGTCCAATTGGGCCCCGAGCTGCAGGTTACATGTACTCAGCGCTTGGGCCCGCCGTGCGACGAGTCAAAGAAGCAATTAACGCGCGGGCGCGC